CTTACATTTAGCTAATAACTAATCACTTTAGATGGGGGAAATGTGTATATGTGGGAAGGAAGGGATAGGAGAAGAGTAGGATAACTCTATGGTGTCCTCTATTTGAACATATTGTAAATAATCTTTACAAATGCAGACTCTGCTCCCCTCCCAAATATTTGACAGTATTTGGGTAAATAAAATGTAAGGGATGTAAGAATTGTTTGGTCTTAGTAGACTAGCTGGATACCAAGTCAATTATTGGGTGTTTAGCAGAGAACTGTCCTGCACAATACAAAGCAGTCTGTCTAACAGTTAAGTTTTCTTTCAAGCCTATGTATCTAGTTTTTACTTAGGTAATTCAACTGCTTGAACATCTGTTATATAATCCTGCCAGCTTCTTAGGAGTTTTAATATTTGCACAATGACATACTTGGGACAATAGAGATCAATTTACAGAAATTTACTTTAAAGCAAATCAGAAAGATGATTTGTTTATTTAATAAAACAATATTTTTTTTTTACAGATTTTGGACCTACCACGATGAACGTTTTCTATACATGTTAATGGAATATGTACCAGGTGGAGAACTTTTTAGTTACCTGCGCAACATGGGGCGTTTCAACAACAGCACGGGACTGTTTTACTCTACAGAAATTATTTGTGCGATAGAATACCTGCACTCCAAAGAAATAGTTTACAGAGACTTAAAACCTGAAAACATATTACTAGACAAAGAAGGGCATATCAAGCTAACTGATTTTGGATTTGCTAAAAAACTGGTGGATAGGTAAGGTTTTTTTGTTTGTTTTTAGCTTTAACAAAAGTAATTACGATTGGAAGATAAATAGTTTTACTTCAGAGCTCAGCATCTTACCAATACCCAGAGTGGTTCACGCATGTCAAATTCTTTAATACAAGGAAAATGATGGTGTTACCTGCTATACTGAAAACAGTATTACACTGTAGGTATAGCTAGAAGCAGTATCGGAGATAAGTTACAGTAGAAAATTTTTTTGTGTGAATAGTTCTTGTGCATTTTTTTCAGCAGTCCTCATATAAAAAAATTGAGTTTAGTGAAGTAAAATGAACAAATACTGAGACATGTACATCTATGTGAACTATGACATCAGTCTTCCACGCAAGTTGAAAGGCTGAATGTCTTGTAACTGATTTTTTTTCTTCTGTTTTCTTTTTAGAGAGATTTTTTGAAAGGTAGGAATAACATTTTAAAATTGGATTGTATGGTTTCACTAGCGTGTTGCTAAAATAAAATTGCAAAATCTAGGGAGAGCCGTAATGCCAGATTTACCAAATATAATTTCACTGTACAAACTGAACAATAGTCTCAGCTTTGTCTGTCTTACTATCATATATAATTGTGGTTTTACTGGTAATAAAAGAGTTTTTCCCAGTTATTTCTCCACTCTCTTCATCTGAACTACTCTTCCAATATTATAGTAGGCACTTTTTATAAGAAAGTGAGAACTGTTCCTGGGATTGAAAATAAGAAAAAAGACACTAGGCTGTCATATTAAGCAAAATGCTGTGGCAAGGCTGCTGATATTGTGCTCCAGGGTCACCTCTTCAGGGAGACCATATCTGGTCGTTCTGGTTGAGACAGTATAGTAAACTAGTCTGTCCTCGTTAAACAGATGCTCATTATCTTCACCCTTAATTTCACCTATTTGATGTTCCTTTTGCTACCATTGAGCGTGGGTGGGAAATTCTACAAGAGCAATCTGAAATAAAAGTGGATCTGAGGGAGCTACTCCTATCGGATCCTTAATGAAGTCATAAAATGAGATGAGGTAGGTCAAATCATATTATGGAGGCCATAAGGATTGTTCACCTATATGTACAGTCTCTCAGTTCTGTGTTGCTTGGGGATGGAAGATGGCTAGCCAATTAATAAATTCACTATTTTTGTTCTCCCGTAATGTCTAAAATTGTATTTTAAGACTATTCAGTTTTAGTATCTGTATGTTTGATCAATTTCAATTCCTACTGGGCAAGCAGATAGGTTTGTAAATGCTGGCAATTTTTTTTAATACTTTGTTTTTAAGTCAAAATGACTTTTTGCGGAAAGAGGCAAAACTACTCCCATATAAGAAAGTAGGAGAATTTCTTTATAAGGTGTTTTCATGCTAATTCTCGTGACTTTCTTTCAAATGTAGATACTGCCCCTTAGTGGTTATTAATTTGAGGTTCTGTGGTCATAAGGCACAACAGGAGTAGCCCTTCATTAAACAAGGGAATGTTTCAGATCAAAGTGTTTTTCAGTCTAGAAGATACACCTGTAAGAGTAAGCTCATTCAAAGATATTTTAGGACACAGAAGTTATCACTGCTATATATTTTTGTGTATTTTATGCCCTTTCTTAGGGGCTTGGGAAAGGAAGAAGTTGAACGCTTTCCACTGAAATGAGTTACAGAGTGCTGTATTAGCTTTAAATTACTAGCTACTTTACCTGTAAATGTACAACAGGTAATACAAAATGCAGAACATGAGGTGGAAGGAGTGAGGATTGCATTTACTTTTATCAGAGTACAGGTAGCTATCTACATGAGTCTGCTCTTTTTGATGATAACATGATATTTTTCCCTGCTAGCAGTAAGCATTTTCACAACCCTGTTTTTGTCATTGTGATAATACTTGTCAGCAATTTATCCGCTAGTACTTTGCAGCAGGCTGTTTTTTTTTTGTTTTATGGACTATTTGAGCTAAGATTTACATATTTGAGTTACATTTGTTTTGCTTTTTATGTATAGCATGTCTATACACATGCACATTATATGTATGCACATTTTTTTATTTCTGTGTGTGTATATATACATATATGTGTATATATTTATATGTGGACCATCAGAATTGTTTAAATAAAATGCACATTAAATGAATTCTTCAAATGGCTGTGAGGAACTTGCTAGTGAGGACCAACGGAGGTATTCCTAGACAGGAGAAGACACGACGTGGAAATGAAGGCTTTCTGTAGAGAGAATTTTGATAGAACAGCACACTCTTGATACATTTTACTTCCCATAAATGGTTCTGTAGTTACTTGAGGCTTCCTGCACACCTTTTCCTTTCTTCCCATTACCAGGTGTGAAAGGGGAGAGGAAAGTGATCTCCTTGCCCATCTGCAATTAAACTGTTCTCTGGAGAGAGACTGCCTGGCTCATAGCTGGTGTTTCCACTATGTGAAGCTGCCCATTACCTTCTTATTAGAAATAAAATACTAGGTCTCAGGACATGCTGGATCCTAATATTCTTTTTTCCCTAGAGAAAGAAGAAAGAGAGGAGATTTTCATGTCTACTTCTCTTCCTTGTTAGGATAAACAGAAAAACTTATTGTTTCCTTGCTTCTCTGTCATAGAGTGCTTTTTAAGTTTCCAGTTTTTCTCTTGTTTCAGCTGCTGCTTCTTTCTTCTATTCCCACCTCCATATTCCCTAGCTGAAGACTTACTTACAAGAAACTGAAAAAGTTATTATGTTTAACATTACAATAGGTGTGCCATTACTCTCGGAAAAGAGCCATGTCAGGAAAAGGAGGAAAATAAGTGGGGAAATAAATGATTCATCTGAAGCATATAGAAAGGATTTGTTTGAGCTTTATAGACATTCCATGCTGCCTTTACGTTTTTAGGCCTTCCTTTTTCTGGCAAGCACATAGCACTTTCTAGGTATGATGTATATATAAAAAATATTTCTGCTCTTTCCCACTTGATTTTTTTCTGTAGGTTCTTTTGGAGAAAAGTGCAAAAGTTCAGAGAATGTTACAGCTCTTCTTGTACAGATTTTGCTCAATTTTTGGAAGTTTGAAGTTATGAATTCATGATTTTTAGAAGAATGTTACTCACTTTTAGATTACTCTGTTTAAAATTCCAACAAAAAATATTCAAAAATGGGAAAGTCTTCCAAATCTTAAGAATATTTAACTTACCTTAATAAATGGTGAGCCTTAAAGATTTTTGAATACTTCTACTTTGTTGCCTCGTGACTAATGTGCCTCGTGACGATTCTGCACAGCAAACTTCAGAGAAAACAAAATGCAGCGAATCTTGTTTGTAAAGTGTATTGAATTTCACTGTAAAAGTAGGACTGTCTTGAACAAACCTCTGTGGGCTGGAATCAGAGCAATCTGCACTGAATATGATTATGCAGAAATTTCCCGAAGAAAACTCCCAAAAGGACATTAAAATCTGTGGTTCTCATGTTAGAAACTTGTCCGAGACTACAGAGGTGAATGCAAAACTCTATAGAACGCTGAAATAGGTTAATCATCAAGTATTTTATTTAAATAAATTATTAACAAGTTCTGCAAATATTATTTGATAGCTTATCTTTTTGACCAGAGTCGGTTCAATTTTTTCATTTTCATATTTTAAAATATATGTTTAACCTTATCAACTATTGCTTACCTGTATTTCAGCTCTTATCTTGAAAACGCAGAGTGTAGAATTTTTGTAGTAGTTTGAAGGAAACAGTCTGTTCTTATTTTTCTGTTTTAAAATGTACCTTTAAAAGGATCTTCTGGAAGATCAGATGACTATACAACAGTTATAAAACAGTAATACAAATAGTAAGAGAATTTAGTGTTTTATAGTGTTTACATTGTGCATTTCCCTAAATATTAAATGGCTTCTTTTTTATCCAGCAAAAGAAGAAATGCAGGTAGTGAGCATGTGACACAACTGTGCACAGCTTGACAAAGAATTTGAGCTTCCTCCAAATTTTTCTGTAGTTAGTAAACATAAATTTCTTGGCTAAAAGTGAGAAGTTGTGACCGCTGGTGGTAATAGACTGCCTTTGCTGCATTAGGTTTTGCCATACAGCGGAGTTTTGCAGGGAGAGAAGGATGGATGACTGTTGTAGGGCGCTGTCCTGCAAACTGTCTGGCTTGTCAGCTAACACAAACGTGCCGGTCTCACCTGCTTTGTTTGTACAGCTCTGCTTCCTAAATATAAAACAGGTGGATGTTTCATTTTCAGGGCTGGCTAAATCTGTATAAGTAAAAATTCGTACAGAGGACTGTAATACAAGTTCTTAAATTTTGTTTGTTTTAAAAGGTAACAAAGCTTTGTTTTTTTTCTTTTTATTACCTGGTCGTGATCTCATCAACTGCTAGATGGCAGTAGTGTGTAAAGCAGGGCCATACGTAAGAATTTTCTTGTGTATGCTTGATTTGGAGAAGGAGTTTGTATTTTCTAGCCATGAAAATTATTCCTCCCGTTTGTATAATGTTTGATGATGTATTCTTTACACTAATGAACATAATTTCAAAAGCCGTGGAGCGGTTGGGTGCACAGTGTGTCCTTATCAATTCTGACAGTTTAGCTGAAGCAATTTAACTTTTGCTGTATTAAAAACAGGCCTAAAAAAATTCAGTTTTGTGTATCATAAATCTTTTAAAGGCTTGACTGACGTCTCCTCCTTGATTTTAAGTATTTTATGAATCAAGGATGAAACTTAATTTTTTTGTTAAATGCTTTGTTTCAAATAAAACTTTTTTTGAGATTGTGGAATTATTTAATGTGTTAACAAATACATTGATAGTCTGAGATATATGGATATTCAAGATCCATATTATAGTATGTATTATATACGAGGAAAGAAGAAAATTTATTCAGTTTATCAGAATAATGGTAGGAAAAACTAGAAGGTGTTAAAGGGGATTGCTATTCATGTTAATTCGTTTGTTCAGAACTAAGTTACCAGTTTGATTTATGCTTTGGAGATTCACAGTTGTGAATCTGACTGACAATCAATGTTTAAACAGTCAATATCAGTTGTTTAAACTATGTGGAGATCATTTACTTTAAGATAATATTCTTTGTCATTTCTACCAAAACTTTTCTTAAAATGCAACATGCTTTTTCCTTCTTGTTCTGCATTGTTGTTTTGTCCATTCTTGAACTGATGAGCACTTCTCAACTTCCATCTTCTGACTTGCTGCCAGGAAAGTGTAATTTTCTCTCTCTCTTTTTTTTTTCTTTTTTTTTTTTTGTAAACTGAAAGCACGTTTGTGTCTATAGCCTATATTTAAAAATAAGTCAAGATAGTGAAGCTAGTCAAATTCTGCACTCCTTATTACAAGGATGAGTTCATATTTCTGGAAAAAATGGTTTCAGAATATTGTTTCTCATGATAATTTGGCCTTTGTCAGCAGTAACTGCTTATCTTCAATTTATTTCATAATCTTATAGGACTTGAACTATATATTCCAATCAGCTAGCAATATAATACTTCTTATGTCATGGGATTATAAGAAATAAGCTATAAGTGAAAGCAAAGCATTAAAAATATGTCAAAAATGAGGTGATATAACTTACATATCTTGCATTTGCTTAACTACACTTTGTATTTTTTATTTAAAATATTTACAAAGTATTTACTTTTTAATAGATATTGTAAAAATGCTGGTAGGTGATATTTCAATACTGTTTGAAAAATAGGTTATTTAAAGAGACAGATTGAAAAAGGAATCTTACAGAAGTCTAGGTTTACTTACAGATTTTAAACTGCTGCCTTTTCCACGCAAACACTTCTATTTTTTCTAAATAAATGTTTTTCTGATGGGGGTTCAGGTTGCCAATAGTCTTACCTTTTGCTCTACCCATCAGGAGTAGTCCGTAGACCCCCAGGGAGGGGTCTGCAGCTTTTACAGGGTGAAAACGACTGTGAACAATGACAAAGCAATATATGGCCAAATGGATAGAGCGGCATGCTAGCAGGCAGGAGAATCGGTGTCCTGATGTTTACTGTAACTGAGAAGTTTTTTAATTTCCATGTGCCCCTATTACAGGAGAATTGGACAGTGTCATCGTAGGGATCGTTTCAGATCTTACAGAGCTCCCTCTGCCTCCTATGCATAGATGGATCTTGAGTGCTTTTCTTATGTGTGTGTCTTGTGTGTTTTTTGTTTGGTTTTTGTGTTTTTTTTTTTTCCTTTTCAGTGTAATTTCAGTTTCACTTCAGTCTAGTTTTGTTTCTTCCTTTCTCCCAGGACATGGACGCTCTGTGGTACCCCTGAGTACCTTGCACCAGAAGTCATACAAAGCAAAGGCCATGGAAGAGCTGTGGATTGGTGGGCTCTAGGAATTCTGATATTTGAGATGTTGTCAGGGTAAGTGATAATAATATTGACTACTGTATCACAGCAATAGTGTATCAAAGGTGAGGTTAGGATTCTTTAGTGCTTCTCTTTATGATGGGTCGGAATCGCAAATTTGAACTACCTGGGTTAAATCTAATATTGATGCACCTCTATCCTGTCTATCTCTGAAGAAGGGAGTTGAGAGCTGTTTAGAGGAACATATATCACCATCATTACTTTCTCTCTCTCTCTCTCTCTCTCTCTTTTTTTTTTTTTTAATTAAATGAGATGGTTATGATTTTCTTCTTTACAGCTACTCTTTTTTGAATTTGCTGTGGAAATTTAGGTTCTATTTTACGTCTAAATTTTTGTGAACCCTTTTTGTATAAAGACTGAAGGCAAGGACTGCCAATTTTTTTTGAAACTTCTATAATTTATTTCTAACACGGTGAAATATTATTTGCGATGGGAACTTTAGTCTGTCAAAGTGCATAGCTGTTAAGTAGGAAGGCTGTGTAATCAGTACAGCTTGAGTTATTCATGAGTGAATAAAGAAAAAGTACAGGGAAAAAAGCTAAATGCTCTATTTTGAAATCAGTTAAATATTATTTTTGATGTTTTGGCTCAGATATTATTTTGGATGGCATTTTCTTTGGAAATTTTATTGGTGGCACGGTTCTCAGAAGATAAAACCTTTGCCATTGAAGAGAGACTTTCTGGCATTAAAATAAATAACTATTTCTGACTCAGTTATTAGGTGAATCAAAGTAATTGCCTGAATGTGCTTTGATTTTTAAAAAGAAATGCTGTTTTAGTAAAGTAAGTTACTAGACTAGGGAGAACATGAAATTCTAAAATACCTGTTTGAATAATTAGTATTTGTGTACTAAACAAGGCATCCCTGCATATTTTTTGTTGTTTTTTTTTTTGTCTTGGTAAAATCTGTTATTACTTGCAAAACAAAACAAAAAGCAGAAATAAAAACAAAACAACAGAAGAGTGATTATTTTTGAGGAAATCAATTTTGCCAGTAATGGTAGCTGTAATAGATCAAATGCAGGTCAAACTTAATGCTTTCATAGCTTCCCAAGAAGTTAGTCAGTTGAGGTTTCACAATAGTTAGAAGCTGTTGCTTTTCAGTACCAGGCGGTGGGTGTGCTCTGTGCTCCCTCACTCGGGGGTGAGGGGGAGGCAGCGTCACGGCCTTTCATTCTGGATCTGCAGTCCCATAAAGCGGAGCCAGAACAAAAGCATCCTGACATGGATTTATTCCTCCTTTTTTCTGTATATGATACCATCAGCTCAGCTTAACCTTGGTGACTCTTCAGGTGTCAGAGCAAGCCCATCAGGCTGCCCGAGCAGACAGCTGCCCTGAGGGATGGGCACTGTAGAGATCCAGTCCACAGTGCGTGTGTGTGTGTGTGCACTTTGTGAAGAAGCACAGTCAATGGCATCAAAAGTTTATCCCAGGGCAGTATTGCTGCAAGCTGCTTTCTTTTTTTAATGTCCCAGAGGCTTGTATATGCATTTGTTTTGAATCCTAAGGCAATTTCTGTAGAGGTAGAGGAGAGCAAGAGAGGTAGAAGGGAGCAAGAGATTCCCAGGAGCCTTATCGCCACTAAAGTTAATCCTACGTAGCATGAAGAGCGCAGACAGAAGTGTCTGGTGCTATAATGCTCTAGTACAGGCATTATCTGTTTCCAGTTGTATCTGAGCAACTTAACTTTCTGACACAGGATTCTGCTGGACCACTGTATATAAATCAGCTTTCTCTTTGGTCTAAGTGGTCCTAGTATAAACGGAAATGGGTCATTTTTCCCTTCCCTGCCTTACAGAGGTTGGTAGGATTCTCTCTGCTTGAGTAGCAATGAAAACGTTTCCAAAGTTAACATACTGAAGACAAGGAAGATCTCTGCTTGGGAATCAGTGAGACGTAAAGACTGCAGGGCACTGAAGTACGTACGACTGGTATATATTCTCCAAAAGGAGAGACATAGGAAAAAAGGGAACAGCAGCAGCCTCAGATGCAGATCTTCTCTGTCCTGAAAAAAGAAGGCTCAGGTGTTGAGGTCTGGATTCCCCTCAGCTTAATTTAAACACTTTGGCTATAGAGATTCTTAACCAGTAGAGACAGAAATTATGCCTTTCTTAAAGGCAACTGAGATCTTAGGTAGGCTGATTGACAGAGCAGCTATCTGCAAGTGATACTGTAATGGTCTTTATTTTACTACAATGTTTCTGATTTAATACAAGTGTCTGTATATATACATACTCTTTGTAATGATTAGATATTTCATTTTTTTTCAGTGTTTGGGGAGAAGTCCCTATCCAAAACTGGACATTTATTTTTAAGATTCTTAAGTTTTCTTCTGCTTTGGAGGGGTTTATTTTGAGCATGTTGTTTTCTTTAAGCAGGCAGATTACCACATAGGGAATACGCTTGCATCATTTTACCAACTTTTTCACTTCTCTTGGCAGTAACAATGTTTTAAAACGCTGGTACTCACCAGCTCAATGTGTGGCTTGTTATTTACTATCAAGGCTTTTAATGCAAAAACAGTCCTAGGTAACTTTATCTCCTGAAACTTAAAGATTTAAGAAGTAGGAAAATTACTTGAACGTGTACAAAACTTCATGACTAAGTCTTTGTCTGTAAAGAAATGAATTATGACATTTGGTAGCTATTTCCTTAACTAATTGTCTCTGGACCCCAAAAGCAGTGAAAAAGAACAAGGAGTTGTGTCTAAGGAAATGATCTATCTAAAAACAAACAAACAAAATAAAACCACACTTTCCTGTTCTGCTGTATCTTATTTCTCTAACCTACTGCAATCTCTTGAGGCCCATGGAATTCTAACTTTGCGCATACTAAGTTTAAGACAAGGTCCCAGTTAATGTTCAAGATAAGGGAAGAGGAATGGATAGGAAAAACTTACTGAAAAAAAAAAAAACTTAATGACAAAAACAGTTTAATGATGCTAGTCCTTCATGAAAGTATTATTAAAAAAAGCAAAGCGGTCAATAGAAAGAGTTCAAAGACTGTTCTCTGACTTTGATCATTATGTTTCCCCCTCAAAAAAAGGCAATTTTGAGTAATCACATTTGGTTACAATCTGCTATAGAGTAAAATAAGTTTATTTAAGACATTAGGTCATAATTGTACTGTCAGTCAGACAAATAGCCAAGTGAATGTTCTCATTTAATGAGGGGTTTGTTTTGTTTTTGTTTTAGTAGTCACATGTAACCTACTGGTCTGTCTATTTAGATAACTAATAATTTCTTTCTACAGTTTCATATTTTAAGACCCGTGAGTATTCACTTGAAATTTTGTGACATTTCTTCTCTCTCTTAACTACGACACCAAGGCCAATGCCATTGTATTCGTTAGCAAAAGGAACGGTTTGCAGCTGTTGTCCCATACACTGAGATCTTTAGATTCTTTGCCAGTTGGTGGAAAAAAGGCAGCTGTTCGCATTTGCTGTGAGGACGATTTGAAACTCAAGGGTTGTTTTTGCTAAATTATTAGGTACCTTCCAGCACAAGACCTATGCTACGTTGTCCAAAATCTGCATCGTATGTTGGAGGTTGATTGTTTGCAAGTAGTACGGATCAAGTTTCAATTCAGTTTGTCAATAAGAAACGATAAAAATTCCCAAAGATACTTTTTTTAACCTTATGCATACAGACAGAATTATTTAACAGTTCTTATGGAATTTGACTTAGTCTGTGACTGAATTTTAGCATATTTCAAAGGAAATGCTAATCCACTTGACCAACAGCTGAATAACAAAGGACTTAGTATTCCTGAAAACACTTACGTAGTGCGACTAGTGCATAGTGTTTTTTCAGGAATAAGCTCAGCTAAGTAACAAAAAATTAAGGAAAGAAGTCATGTGAAATGAACAAATATTGTTGGTGCAGCTCTTGTTTCTATTACCAGCGTCTCACAAAGTTATCAGCATGGTAGGTGTGTGCAAGCGGCTCAGTTCTCTTAGGAAAAAAAGATATATAAAACTTTAGGGAGATGTGGAAATATTGTAATTGTCAGAATGTAATAATTATTAGATGATATTAATATAGTTGTTATTCAAAAACTCTTTTTCTATTCTGTACTAGATTTTGGGACAGAATCATTATTAAGCAGGGCGCTTTGGCCATGTTATGAAAGTCAAACTGGGACTGAGATCAGTGACTGAATTGTTATCCCATTGCCCTAGAAAGCTTTTCGTGGTAACTTCTCGAAAGGGGACTATCATTCTGAAAATCTCTTGGTACTTGATCTAAGCTAATTAAACCTACTGTACTGATACATGCACACTCTGTGCCCCTTTGAGTAGCCAGTGTATGTCATATACCAGTAAAGGAAGCACAACGGAAAATAGTCTCAATTATTATTGTATGTGTAACACAAGAAGAGTCTGTCAACTGGCTCTTAACTTTATGGAGAACTTTTTAGAAAATAGGAAGCACAGAATTTTAGTTGAACTTTAATTTGGTGATCATCTTAAAGATGATGAAACGTGAGTCTTGTATCTGCCCCAACCTGAAAGAACAGCTACTCTTTGAGAGACTTTTAGGGACTGAAAAGTTTATCATCTTCAAACCTCTGTAACAAAACCCACATCTACATTAAAGAAACATAATAAACAACTGAACTTGATACTGTATTTATATGAAGGTCCTTTGACACTTTGGGTGGAAACTAGTGAATAAGTGTAGGCTGGCAGTTACAGGAAAAGATCAAGAAGGGTGATGTTGTTTTGGAAAGTACGCCCTTGGGTTTTATAGAAAAAGACAAAGGACTTCTGACTTTCTAACACTGACGGTTTGTTTCACAAATAATTTTTTACTGTGTTAGTAAAATAAATAGCTCTCCTGTAATACTTGAATTTCAATTACATTTTAAATGTACTGCATGTAAAAATGTTTTCTGTTTTGCAATAGCAGCCTCAGTATGTCTTGGTAACTAAAGTTGTTATTCAGGTAGTATGTGGTTGATGTTGTTTCCCTACCAAAAAGAATTACATAACACATGATTTTCATGGGCAATTACTATAATCTAACACTACTTATAAGACTTTTGCAGATTCTTTTTCTAACATTTACTGTTTTAAAATAGGTTTCCTCCGTTTTTTGATGACAATCCATTTGGTATATATCAGAAAATTCTTGCTGGCAAAATAGATTTCCCGAGGCATTTGGATTTGTATGTAAAGTAAGTTCTTGGCTCCCAAAACTGTGTTTTATATTCTGTATGCCTGCTGAGCACTGTTTTTAAAGGATTTTCATTAAAAGATACCAGATTCTGATTTTCTAGAACACTGTTTTGAATATATTTTAGTTTACGTTTAGTCTTGTAGTTCAAGTAAAATTTTATGTTTAATAGTTCCAGCCAGAGATGTGGTTATAGTATCCTACTATATCCTATAGTATCTTAGTCTCTTAATTTTCTGCATATTTTGAAATACTAAATGCTTTTTCACTTTTTACAAAAGGAGTTAATTAAAAATGAATTAACCTCAGGAGAGCAGGAAGAGGGCGTAAAATTATTCCTTTGTGTGTTAATTTTCCAGTTAAATCACTCTTAACATAATTGCTGTCTTTAATACTTTTACAGATCCAAAACGCACTTCCATTTCTTATACAGGGCTCTGCTTCAATATGCAGTCTTAAATACGTATCATCAGTATTTTTTATTCATAATATTTTGTAATCATTACAGATATGTTGCAAACAGTTTTTTTTCTGTTCAAAAATTCAATAATTGAAATAACTGTTAATAAATATTGTAACAGAGGAAGTACAACACACACAAATGAAGTTTCTCCTGAGAGGCACAGATTGAGTGAGGACAGGAAATTACCCTTGCATACCCAAGTTTATCATTCAAGGTGTTTTGGTGGAAGTGCCCTACAGAGGTGGGCTTTGTTTATTGTAACAGCTAGGTAGATAGACAAAATGCTATGCCTAATAGCACCTAATAGCATCTGTCCTACTTCCTCTGAACTTCTGTGAATTCTGCTTTTTGGTACAGAGCTGCTTACAAAAATAATCATTTCAGGGAGAAGTTTTTAAACCTCCATTGAGTCATCAGGTACACTGAATGAAATGTGTTTACATCATCTTAGGATGATTAGTGTATCATATTTGTGTGTGTTGTTAATGGAGCTTTCCTTTACTGTTACGATGCTGTTTCCCATTTAGTGTAGTCTCTTTGTCCTTCAGGAAAAACTGAGCAACTCCAAACATACTGTGTGCGCTAAATTATAAGAGTGTGACAGAAAGATGAACAGCTCAAAGTAGGTTGTTGTCGCTAACAACCTGTCTAACGTGGTGAAAACATGTAAATGTAGGGGTGCTGCAAGTATCTGTTCATACTCAGCATTCACAGACGAACGTTTACTGATTTGGCCTAGATACAGAGGACACCTGATGCTATGAAGTTTTCTAGTTGAAATAGTCTGCATGTATATGTAGATCTTGATGTTCGGTCTAGCTATGGCCATCAATGTAGGCATTATTAATCACCATAGTTGTTGCTGCACTTCTTCCCAGTTTTTCTTCATACATCGTGCAGATGTTCTTTCAGTGTGTGCTTGGCAGTTCATTCCCATTACACTCCTGCCTTTAAGGGATCTCATGGGATTCTGGATTAAGTTCCCTACCTTTTATAACTTGTTTTAGGATGATCTCATCCACTTGCATGGCTTCAGCTTCTTTTTACAGAGAACTGTTAACGTAGTGCATCTCTTGTTCCGACCACCCTCCCCCCCCTCCCTTTTTTTTCTTTTTTTTCTTTTTTTTTTTAAACATTTTGAGCTCAAAGGTTATTCTCCCAAATAGCTGAGTGCTTTCTGCAAGGCTTGCTAGTGGTGTCAGAGTACCATCTTTTTTTTTTTTTTTTTTTTTTTTTTTTTTTTTTTTTTTTACCACGATATGCAGAACTGGTTGGTCTTCGATATCTCTGCAGCATTAACTTAAATCATTTAGTAAGATTGTTTTGTCCTAATAAGTCAGTCTGCTTCCTTTCCTTTTATCCCCTTTGTTTTTCATCCCCTTCTTCCTATCACTTAGTATCTCAGGACCCAATATATTCCCCAGTCCTCCTATCTGTCACATCCAGGCTATGTACAAAGTGTTAATGTAATCCAGTATTTGGAAGAACTGACCTTTAGCTGTCTACTTTTAGGCAGCCACACTCTGTTTCCCCTGCAGTTACTGTTGCACCTTGAGAAAGCTTTTCTACCAAGATCTAATACACAAACTGTTGACTGAAAATTTTCTTCTCTCTCACCACCATCACCTCCAGTTTATTTTCTGAATTTTTACTACTTTAGTTTTCCCTCCTACCGTAAGATATTTGTTGTTCCTTTATATGTTACAAGAGCTTGTATAGCTGTTGTTTGTTCTGGCCTAAGTTAGCCTCTTCTTACATTGCTGTCTACTGCATCTCTTTGCTAGCTATCTCGCTGTATGATCAGATATTTTGTGCAAATTCATTATTCGGTATATATGAAGTCCTTGATACATTTAACTATTAGGTCAAATATCTTCTGAAGACTCACTTCTACCATGAAGACAATAATAAATTAACCGATTAGTAATTCCAAAATAGGAGGCTATTGGCATAGTTTTGCTCTGCATCACCTCTGATAAAACAAAGTATTAATTGATGTTTCACCTGTTTCTTTGGCCAGTCATGAGTTTATAAGTTACTCCGTTTTATTTCATTTTTCTTTCCTGCTGCTGTAAACTCTTCTTGGCGAAGACAGTTTTGGAAAGTGCAGACTATTATGTCAGTGCTGCAGCGACCTAATAATTATTGGCCTGAGAATGCTTTGATGTAGAATTTCATCCCTCATATGCATACTGCAACATATTTATTAGACTGATTTTTAACGTGATCATTTCTGTATTATACTTGGGAAACGATAATGAAGAAACAGTAAACTTGCTATTGCTTGATACAACTTAATGGTTATTTGTTTTGCTGAATGCAGCAGATGTGTTTTTCAGTGATAACACAGCATCAGTGAGCGAGCTCATTCCATAGCTGTGTGATTCCAAGATGAATTTTTAAAGCAAGCAAAAAATGATTTATTGCATGTTCTCTAGTTGTATAGGAAAAGCAAACTCCACGATTTAATTTTGATCATATGGTCTCTGAATCTGGTTCTGGGTTTCTGGATTGCTTTTCAGTCCTACTTTAATTGAAAAATTAAATTATAGCTATACTTGTATTCTTCTCCATAAAGAGTACCCTTAGTAAAGAGCTACAAGGAGGTATTTCTCTGAAGATAACTGTAAAAGGATTCAGTCATATGGTTTAATCTAATCCAAATATTGATTGGATGGAATGATCACGGGAGTTTAGAAAATTACTTTCTGCTTTGACTTTTTTTATTTTCATTTTATCTAGCAATTGAATATTTTCCGGTTGGGTTTTAGAATTATATCCTTGCCAAATATGACAGCTTTTCATACCGTCCAGCACGTTCTATCTCACTTTATATATTCTTTATTCGTATGCTTTTGTGATTTCTAGAGGACGTGACATAATATTTTGGGGGTGGAGAAGGAACGGTAGGTGTTATAATTTGGGTTAAGGGGTAGGCAGATGTGTCCTTAATGTGTACCTTTCTTCTATAAATCTTTTAAAGTCTTCTGCACGGTTAAAAATCAGAATGGTCTTCTGCAACATAGATTTGAGATATGTTTTGAAATTTGGAAAGCCCCACAAAATGCCAAGAAAGATGTGATACTACAAAAGAGAGTGAGTTTTTGTCTCTTTTGCAGTGTAACTTCTTGAGAGAGACTTGAAATAAATCTTGTTAGTTCCTTTTAGACCAGGTTACCCCCTTTTGCTTTTTTTTAATCATTCACTCCTTACTGTTCTGAAGTATGGAAGAAATGCCTGGGTAAATTATACACGGCATTAGCTAGTCAAAGGGAAGTATGCTTACATTCTGTAATTTGCTATGGTTTAACAGAATGTATAATATTTTCTTTACTACAGAGACCTTATTAAGAAGCTGCTTGTGGTTGATAGGACAAGACGATTAGGAAATATGAAGGTCAGTATAAAATGCTACATGTCATGCAGAACAAGGCACAGGGTTAGAAGAAATCTATAGGAACGATATAGGAAAACCTCTTACGCCTTTGGTTCATTTCTGTAAGCATGAAATTGAGATACATTTTCCCATACCTGATTTTTTTGTGCAATCTGAAATGCAAAATTTAACTGCATTTCTGGAAATCTTACTCATACCATCAGGGTTAATTTGTACTTGATTTGTGTACGCACATGCGCACACACACACCCCTCTTCCTCATGCCCCTGCCCCAAAAGCCCTGGTAGCTTGGTGGTTGCACTGCTTTAGCACAAATAGTCTCTCTTCTGCCAGGAAGAATTATTCTTACTGTCATCTTGTAGACTTCTGGAAGAAGTAGCTTACTAGTCAGAAATATGCTCACATGGGTCAGGTAGCATCTCAGTCTGCCCTGAAAATACGTCTGTATCTGATTTGTCAAAGAGCAACACAAAGCAATCCAGTGTATTTTGTCAGATGACCTGATGAGGTACAACGTCTGATGCCAAGAAGAGGACAGTTGTATTACAAGCTCATATGACTAAGCAGCTAAGTTGTAGTAATGGGTGATAGTGTTGCAAGAAGTTAACTGTGAACTAGCACAGATACTGTAACAGGCTATCCAGAGCAACATAAAACTCAGGGTGGGTTAACTTACCCTTCTAGCACAGTAAATTAATCCTATATTCATTGACTTGTTATGGTGCTTACAGTGTTACACATACCTGAATTAGCTTGTTTAATCCTTTAGGTGTTTAGAGACAGCTAAATTTCCATTTCACTGGTCAGGGGAGGGTAGAATTTGGTGGGTTTTGTTTGCTTGCTTGTTTTGCTGAAAGTGTGGATTATTTTCCAGGTTTCTTGAACGTATTGATATACACGTAGGTCCTAGAATTAAGCGTTTTTCAGCCATAAGTTTAACCATCAACCCACAGTTATTTTCTTAATTAGTATAAGAATTGGAAAGCATATCTGAATAAGAGGTGTTCTCTAAGATGGTAGAGAAAACAGAACTGAGCAGAACTGCAGTGAATGGTTGAACTGTGTATGGCTGTGGTTTATATTTCTTTACTTGTCTGTTAGTTTTTTACCAGTTCAGTAACCAAATTGAGAGATTTGAACGATCTTTTGATTTACATTGACCTGACACAAAATTTTATGAATTTCTTATGTATTAAATTAAATAATTTCAGGTCAAATTAATATTTCTGTAGAAATTAATTAATATTTTAGGTCAGTGTAATATTTTCTGTGGTCAATTTAACATGTCTGTAATATTTTTCCTACAAAAAACCTCTTCTTGATCATCCTTGTATCAGAAGAATACTTAGAAAAATTTTAAATTTTTTTCGAAGTTATTGCTGGAACTCGGGAGATAGTAGGAAGTAACACTATGTCCTATAGTAAGTAACACACTTGTCCTATAGAATCTTTTACTGGTTACCACTTGAGAGAGAATACAGGGTTAGGTGGACCTTTAATCTGCCTTGATGCCACAGTTTTTGTGATGCAATACACGTTTTGGCATATATGTACTTCTTTAAACATTTATTTTCCTTTTTCTTTATAGAATGGAGCAGATGATGTGAAGAGACATCGATGGTTCAGGTCTATAGATTGGGAAGCTGTACCTCAAAGAAAACTGAAGGTATATTCTGCAAAATACTGTATAGACTATGACAACCAGAAATTATTATTCATTTAAACTGTTTGCTGGGGCTTTTTTACCTATTGTTTGTGTATGAGTGTGTGTGGATATTTGTGGACATTGCTAATTATATGCATTTTGCCCTTTTATTCGGCAGAATTACTTTATTTGAATGTCTGTTTACATGATGCATTTGCTGAAAACAAGTTAAAAATCCTTTGTTTTTCTGATATGAAGTTGATTCGCATTGCTTAATACAGGATTTAATTTACAGTTCTTAGGATTTTGTAAATAGCTACTGTGAAATCATCTCCCCCCCACCCCCCTTTAAAAATCTGGGGAATTATTTACTCTGGGCTTCAGTTTTTTTATTCCAAGTTTAACTCAGGTAAATGCTTTAATAAAATGTAAAGCATTTGACAGTAAGAGGAAGAGGGTGGAGAGAAGGATTTATGAATGTAATTCTAACATACTTTTTAACAGCACGAATTTCCAGTATTATATGAGGGCAGGTGTTTGCAAAAGCTATCAGCACCGTAAGATGCTTATTAAAGTCCTTTGGAAGTAAAACTGTGAAAACTTGGCATTTGAATGTCAGGTTCTCTTGCAGATATCCTTGTGAAATCACAATTTTTACAGTTGAGCACTTTCTTTTCCTACTTGAATTCATTGTTAGACTCGGCAAAAGTGTAGAAGGTGGTGAGAAGCATGCACAAGTTAGCTATTGCAGCCTCCTTAAAAGCAGTCAATTTGAGAGAGATGAGTGGGAATTTTTTTCTTTTTTTTGCACCCCCTCTCCCCCGAATCCCTTCAATTACAGAGCTTTTAGCCACATTGCTATCAAGAGGACTCATTTCCTTTTAGGAGAAAGGGCCTAATGTGATTACATTTTTTTTGACTGGTTGCTGAAGGGGAGGGTTGGAGGGAGAAAGGAGAGTGACAGATTATGATATAACAGAACGTGCTTGGAACATTAATGAATTCTTTTGCAGTTACCTTACATTTGCATAGCAGCTAGAATTAGAGGGCTAAATAAAATAGGAATCTGTATTATGAAAGTATCTTTTAACCACAGGCTACAGGCTTCTGTCTCTTGTGCCATTCATTATTGGTGAAGGAGTTGAATTTTCATAAACATGTATCACTTTTTAAATCAGTTTTTCACGGAATTTCTTTTTTAATAATATGATGGAAAGTGGCTGATTGAGAAACTATTTAAACTTTTGTTGTGCTTGTTCTGAATAGCCTCCTATAGTGCCGAAAGTTTCCAATGATGGGGATACATCCAATTTTGAAGCTTATCCTGAAGATGACTGGAACAAAACACCCCCGGTACCCCCTAAAGATCTAGAAATTTTCAAGAACTTCTGAATATGACATCCACACTGGACAAGGTATGTCCACATATCAGGAGTTCTCTTCAAAACACTTCAGTTCTGTGAGTGAGAGCTTTATGCAGAAACTACATCTTCTGATTGATAGCACTGATCAGTGCTTTATTACAGCTTTTAAAACCGATGTGAATTGATCAGGGTAAGAAAACAGTATAAGGTAGAGGAGATGTTTGAAATAATATATTGTAAAAATATTGTAAAGTACGCCTACTGGATGACAGAAGTAATTTATCTCACAGGCTTTGCTTGTTCTACAATGATCAAGAGTTCTCCGTGTACAGGCATTTAAACCTTTCTATCCTTAAAACTTTTAAATAGTGTGTTAAAAGCAAAGATCTATATAGATTTGACAGATAAACAAATGATTGCAAGATGTTTACATTAAGAACCAAACCTTTAGCTGGAGGAAAAAGATCATCAGAGTAATTCTATACCCTCGATTCTTTTTTTTTTTTTTTTTAATTGTGATGGGTTAATATTTGTCATTCAAGTCACATGCTCTATATTGTCTTTTGTGTTTTTTGTTGTTATTGTTTTTGTATTAGAAACTGGAAGGAAACTGAAGTGCTAAGAGCAAGTCTGAAGACAAATGAGTTCATACGTAAATGAAGACTTTTTTGATGTGGATGAGAATGTTACTGCATTCAGATATGCATATTAGTAAATATTTAAAGAGTTGGAGGCAAGCAGGACTCACTTTTAGCTGTAAACATCTGACATTAGTTTAGCAAATTGTAATATTGATACTCTACTCTGAAGTAGTCTCACTAAAGTGGTATATTTCAGAATTTTTTTTAACTTATGGTTTTGTTGAGTTTCCTGCTATTCCTAGATCCTTTCTGCGTAGTTGTCTCAGACTTAATTTTATAAGTTTATACTAAACTTGTGTAATTAAAAGCACAAATTAGTATATATGTATATAATGAATACAATACAACTAAAGCACAGCAACTGTGCAAAGATGTAAATTTTTGTACTTTGCAGAGCTGATTTTTATTTTTCAAATAATGTTTTTCAACAAGTTCTCTAGGGATAAAAATCTTAAAAGGATAAATGAGTTTTTCATCATCTTATATACATTTTATAATTCTTTGTAAAAACTAAAAATAATTAAGTTTTAAAAAAAGATTTATACCTAAAATTTCCAATGCCTCACACTTGCAACCATAGTACTTGAAAGCAGAAAGACAAGAGCATATTTTATTGTTGATTCAAGAAACATCTGACTGGTTAATTCATGAAGGTTTGTTAGTGTTGTCTCTTTACAGACTAGGATAATGAGTAATGATACACTGTCTAAAATTAGATTCCTCATGTGAAGACTCTGTAGACATGTAATTCAGTGCACACTGATAAAAGAGCTCTCATAAGTTCCCTGACTGGATCTTACAGGAGTTGTTCGCTCTCTAAGCTTACTATCGTCTCCAAATTTAAAGCACGAGCCATAACAGATTCTTTTCATTATTGAAGCAGTTGTTGTTGAATGCTTAGCACTTCTGAATATCAAGGCGAAGACTGAATATGTATTAGAGCCGGTCCTCTGCTCCATGTGTGGGAATGTTCTAAAGTCTCTACTGCCAGGAATTCCATATGTACAGAGTTGCAACCTTAGATACAAGGAGTCACTCTTTGATCCTTTACTAACAACTTTCTATATGGGTCTCTGGCAGCTTGGGTACACTGTATTTAGGAAATATTTGCAATGTTGCTTCATTTTAAATAACACCAAATATCACTCTGTGTGTGTGTATGTATGTATCTATGTATATGAGTATACATAAAGATGAAGGTAGATTATATATGAATCGGGATCTTTTTCAGGTGTTTTTTTTTTGTTTCATAAAGTGATACTTATGACAATATAGGGAAATTGATTTTGAAGTGCTTAGATTTCAAAACACAAATACATTCTTTTAGATGTTATGTTTTTGATGACTTTTCATGAAATTGTTATATTTAGACCAAACGTGTTTTTTGAAAAGCACATCAGTTCACTGGAGTTCTTTGATGACTCTATATAAAACTTAAAACTGTTTAAGTAGATCATATAGCCCCAAAAACTGTTCTCCATATTTTTGTTCTAAAATACCATAAGAAATCTAACCCAAAGGCTAATTTTTCTGAACTAAATTCAGCATGCTTAAAAAGTAGTAATTCTAGTAATAACTAATAAAATTACTATGTCAGTAATTTTCTGATCAAGTTATAGCTGGAGTTTATTGGTAGAAAAGTTACCTCTGTTTTTGTTGCCTAGTTCTTAATAATGCAGAAGTGTAGGAAAATAGTAGATGTGCTTGAAGAGTTTGCAATTTCTAGGTCATTAGATCTATCCCTCTGTAAGAAGTACAAATTTGTAAGAGATCGTATAACTGTTTTTGCAAAAATGCAAATTTTATTTGTGTAACAGAATCATGACACTTCAAAGCGGTGATTCTGGAACATCAAAAAGTTATCTTGATAATGTTAACGCAAATGCCACAGGTTGATGGCCCCAGCTGCCACTCACTGAAAACTGTATAAGAATATGATTCTCTATGCATTTCCTGTATTTTATTATATCATTTTAACATGGTAAAAATACATTATTCTCTTCAAAAAAGAAAAAAAAATTCTGTTCCGCTATATTTATGTCCATGAAGTTAAATATTCCAAGTCAATTAAAAACTGAAATACATTAAAACAAAATTTAGTATCTAAAAGGGAGCAAGTACTGTTCCACTTTTAAATGTATAAGCTTACAGTATTTTATGGAATCTGAGTACCACAAAAACAGTTTCATGTTAAAAGATGTATATACTGCCATAAGCAGGTATCCTAAATATAAAGTTCTTTTTGCGAAAATTGACACCTGAACTGTGTTTAAGTCTTCAAACCTGAAGAAATGAAGTTGCATTTGAATAAATGTGCCACATTGGTGATTAGAAGTTTTGAATGCTTGAACAGCACGAGATAGTGGCTTTTCTTTCTGTCTGTGAATCTTATCCATTGCTGGCAGTGGATGCACTGACACTCATTATGATAGAGACTAAAGAAACAAATATAATCTTATTAATTATGCTCATCCGCTAACTTTACGTTGTTTCCACAGCCATGAGTACATACACCTAACTACTCACCTCGTCAATATGCTTTCCAGTACAAAATCCTTTCCACTTTTTTTAAATTAAAATCCTTAACAAAAAAAATCTTTGGAGCATTATTTTTAAATGATAAATTATTTTCTCTACAGTCTTGAACTTGATGAGCTGTAATTATCCACCCATTTTATTTATTTGCACAAATGAGTCAGTTTTATTTTAAGTCTTTGCTGGGATTTAATGGACCACTAATGTAGTTCCATCTGTGTGCTAAATAAGAAGTTCCCAGATACACAGTGCACTAAGGACTCTGGATTTTTTTTTTTTTTTAATTCAGCTAACTAGAACACTTTTTAAGTATGGTATTCTCTGAAGTTCATTTTATTATAGTTGCTCCTGTTAACATGTATTTTTTGCATACAGACTGTTGCATAAGGACTGTTTTCTTATAAAAGCCCATAGGCCTTTCATATTTCTTCTGCTTTGGTGAACAAGAATGTTAAACACTGAAAAACAATCTTTATTTTTGAGTTTTATATATATATATTTTTAATTGCCCAATTTGAGGTTTTAAGTGAGTAAATGTGCATTGTAAACACAATTGCCTTGTAACCAAACAGTAAAAATGCTTCATGGTTTAAATGGAGAACATGCTGTAGATTTTCCTGTAAATTAGCTTGATCAATGAATATGTGTGCTACTGAGCTTTAACTAATGTGATCTTCCAGTGTAGAAAAGTCATTGTTAATTGATCAAAATATAGGTACTAAACTATGTTTAAATGGATGAACAGGGATTTTGTAGTTTTGAAAGCAATTTAAAATATGGCTGTTCTTCAGCCCATCTGCTTGCCATTCAGAAGAGTTGTGATGCAGTGCTTCCTATGCTATAGAATTATTTTTCAGCTTTCAATGACTGTAGCATGATTCCTTTTTGTACTGTACTGTGTACAGACTTCCCATGTTTTGCACTTTTCTATGGCAAACCTGACTGCTTTATAAATACTCTATGTAGTAAGTAGTGATAGTGGTAGCAGGCATTGATGTACTACATAATCAGTTTGAACTGCTAGACTTCCCAGGTTAACTTGGACTAATGTTATATGTTGCTGGTTGCTTGTCGTAGCTCACATGTGTAAGTACTGTTCAAAGTTACAAAGTCAGCCCTCATTGCACAATGGAAATCACTGTGATCTGTATATAAACCCTAGTAAAAATTTATTGCTGTTTAATTTATGTAATATCTGTCAAATCTGGATTCATTTAATAAACCTTTATATCTTTTTAAAAGTTTAAATCTAGTTTGCTTCCATTTATGTTGGGAGGAGGCACAGGTTCTTCATCCAGTATAATCTGAGTGAGAAAGGAGAGCAGTGGAAAAAACTACTGTTCCTTCTTTTCAGGAGTTAAATCTTTTCAGGACTTAAATCTTTCTGGAGCAAGACACAAGTGGTGGAGCATATTTCAGTAACTGCTGGCACAGGAGTTCCAGCAACTGTATTTTTCAGTTCATTTCAGGTAGTGCTCTCATTCTAAGAGGTGTTAACTTAAACATCTCATTAATGATGCTATGGTCCTAATTGGTTCAGCATTTTCACAATTTAATAACCTGAACACCCTCCTGAACGCTCATTTTATAGTGCCCCATTTCTTTAAGCTTACAATGTCAGACACACCTAACTAAACCTTTATTTCATCTTCCATCAGGAACTTCAGAAGTCTACTTTTACTAAAACTGATGTAACATTTAATGTTAAATTACTTCTCCCTGGTCAACTGCATTTTTTTTCTTGCCCACTAGAGATCTTTACCTGGAAGAGATAATTATGTAGACAAGTACTACACAGTGTCCATATAGACTACTGTGTTCATAGACTGGACACAGTTTGCTCTAGTTCAGAGTTTGTTTTTTAACCTAGAATTTAATGCTTTCTTTCTGCCTCTCCTAAATGTAAATTTTGTGTGTTGGCATTTTTCTCATGTAAATCACTGTCATGTGCCTCAAAACTCTGCTAATGGAAAGTGAAGGAGCACTGCAATGAGCCCTGGCAAGCTTTTAGTCATGTCTTAGACATGAATCAAAGGAAAAGAACTGCTCAGTTGGAACGCAACAAATTTTTAAATGTTAGCATGCATCCAGAGTGTTTGTAAAGAATTTGGTTTGGCAACTTGTTCTTACTCCAGCCTCTTGTGATGTAGTAGAGGGAAGTTTTTTGTTTGTTTTAACCTGAGTACTGTTAACTTCTTTGGTTGCATATGACCTGTGTTGGATAAGGTAAATCACTTTACATATACTTTCTCACTAATGAAAGGCAGGTAGCTTTCATTGTTTAATAACATTTTTTTGGTCTGGATCATATGTTACTTGCTACCCCCAAATCTATCTCAGCTTCATTGTTCATCAGCCCTTTGTACTGCAAAACATTGTTAGAACAGTATTTGACAAGAACACACCCTTCTGCAACACCCGCTCTGCCCAGCACATGTGCACACAATTTCTTTCCCCGCACACAGCAACTTGGTGGCACTACTTCCTACATCTTTAACTTTGTCTCTGTTTTGATTCTTTTTGATTTAGTTTATTTTGTTTCTTTTTAACCTCCGAAGTAATTCAGCTTTAGTTCAGGCTCTTAGCTGTATTTCGCTGTTAACCAATAACCCTGTGTTATGAGAAATAGCTAAAAGTCACTGGCACTCCCTCAACTCTGGTGCTTGCCCAGTGCTTTGTGAATCTTTGTTTGATATCAAACTCTTCCTTTTCTGAATGTTTGCTAGCAGCCACAATCTCAACTTCCAAATTTACCCATTTTTTCATAGGGTAGTGAATGCAGGTCTCGGTACCAGAGTCTAGCTGTCCCCCTGCTCTTCCCTTTCTGCTTTTCATCCACGCTTCCAAAAAAACCACACGTGAATGTATGTCAACTTCATATTTATCCTTTAAACCAGAAGTATTGTAAAGCTTTAG